AATGAATGAATGAATGAATGAATGAATGAATGAATGAATGAATGAATGAAAGTATTCTAACATTAACATTGCCGTGTTCAAGGAAGGATATTCTAGAAGTCTCCTTCAATTCAGGTTCCATAATATAACAGCCATCTATCTGAGGTTGAATAAAGATAGGAATCAATCCAGACCCAGACAGAACTGAGTTAATTAAAATGAAATGTATTGCTATTTACAAAGGATTACAGTAAATAACTGATGCAGTTTGTGTTCGTATACAGAGTTCTGTTTCTATACTAAGGAAATATACATGTGAATATATATGTTTAGCTGAACATAAATATCCTGTATGCATTTATCAAGCCTCTGTCGAAAAGTTTCTTAACTTTGAAACATATACAACTTTGATCTCTCCCCTTCTCCCACAGCTGCTTACTTAAAGGCAGGCTTCAGAGTAGCAATTCCCTCCTTAGCTAACCTTGCTTTCACTTCCAAGGGAGAAAAACCTTGTATTATCCAAAAGTGGGAGAAGAAAGAGAATGCGCTCACATGTCCCTTCTAATCCAAATCCCCCCCCCTTTTTTTTTTCCTTCTGTGCATTGGTGCTACATAGTTTTCTTTGCTGGTCCTGATTTGGTTCCTTTTCACACAGCCTCTCCTCCCAGTGACTTCTCTTGGAATCCTCATCCATCTGGTGCTGACATACCCCAATCCTCTTCCAATCTGTAACCATGGATTCTCTTGGTCCTTTGCTTGCCTGGTCACCCCTCTCACCATCAGCATCTCCCCTAAGTCCTGAAAGATTCCCCCTCCCTCCCTACCCTGGATTCTATATTTTGTCTCCAAAAGGCATATGTGCCAGATTTCAGGTCTTCTAAAGAATTAGGACTTTTATCTAGATGCCTATAGGCTTCAGCTTGACTATCAGACCCCCCAGGAAGAATAAAATAAAATAAAATAAAATAAAAAGGGCACCTTTAGCCCTGACATTTACAAAGCTGAGATGAAAACAGGTTTTGTATCATGGCTGTTCATCTTGTGACACCAGGAGGAATTTCTGTTGCTTCTGTTGTTGCTTCATCTCATTGTTTAAAACTGGGTTTTCCTGTAATTAGGGATAATGGACAACCAGTCTTAGGAATGAAAAACTGATATGTTTCTACCAGATTCTGTGTCTATATTAGACCTCATTCATTCTTAGGGTTCCTCCATGTCACTCTGATGACAGCTGATGACTAAGAATCTATTTCATTCTGTCACAGGTTTAGCACTTGTAGCGGCCCCCATTTATTGCATATTACTTAAGCAGCCAAAACTACAACTGAGTATCCATTGTTCCCACCTACTTGGCCCAGAATATATTTTCTTAATTTGGCATCAAACTCTTTTCAGTCATTATTTAATCATCATCATCATGAGTTCATCCAGGAACTAAATGATTAAGTAACTTGCAGAGATTCTTAAACAACTAGAATGGTTAGAAGGCCATCTAAAAGTCAAAGGCAATTGTGTAAGCAGGAGGTGGTAGAAGCTAACCAGATCAGAGTCTAGTCTAAGCAGTAGCCTGATGTCAACAAAGACTGAAACAGAAAGATGAGCCATTTTTCCGCTGCTTGCCTGCCACAAATTGCAGATTTACTGGTGGTGGCAAAATAGAAGCTCAGGACCCCTGTTCATGATCCCCAGATCTCATCTAACCACAAAAGACAAATTCTGGAAATGCAATTTCTCACCATGTTGAAAACCAGACTTTGCATGCTTAAATCAGAACTCCTCCTCCCAAAATAGAGGACCCCACTCCAAAAAACATGTACACTATGATATGGCCCATCTTTATTTATATTACCTCCACCACCCAATATATCTATCAGCCTTCCCAAAAATGTCAAGTGTGGCCCCCAGCAATCCTATGTTATTTTAGCCTGTAGCTTTGTTTTGACATGGCCAATTACATTTAGCAGACGGACCAGTTAAAAGCAAGAACAGGATCAGCATAAACATTTACTTTCTACCTTTGTGTTTATGTCCTATGAAGATGACTCCAGGGTCTCCTCTTCTGGTAAGGTTGTGTCGTTCCTGAAGGACCATTTCTTTTTCTCATGGTATGAAAACCTGAAGAAGCAATAGACATTCCTGTGCTTTTGACTTTATTTGAAGAATATTTATGTGGAAAGTATCCTGCTCAATGCATATAGTCTTCCTCACAAACTGTATTTACAGCTCTAAATCACTAAGGTTATATATCGGGGTGTGGAATCCATGGTCCCCAGCTTCTAAAGCATCCAAGGGTTGCCTCACCAACAGTTGCCAGGAAAATGGTTAACTTCCAGTTTTGTGACTTTTGGCTTAAAAATAAGCAATAAAGGCACAAAGGGGAGCATCAAGGGTTCTTAAGAGAGAATGTTTTCATTCCTTTCTTTAAACCTCCTTCAGCATTCAAGAAACCAGCCAAAACCATGTTGCTAAAATTTGGCAGCAAAATGTGGGTGGTATGATTTTAGCCTTAAAAAATTTGGAAGGAAAGATGGAGATGGGAGCTCATGATTTTTTAAATCACTGGCCAAAAAACTCATTCCATCCTCCCTTCCAGGAATAGGACTATGTTATGCCGTGATGAGTTCCACCAGCCAGGAGGCTAAGTTGCAGCTACAAACCTGGAAAGCGTGGCCCACCCCATTCTAAATCCTGAGGAGGGGAGCATACAATTTGTCAAACAGTCTCTTTTTGCTTGTCCCATTGGGAGGCGAGCAGGAGATCAGGTTGTTGGGAAGCAGCAAATTGGGACATTCCATTCTCCACCTGATTATTATTGCTTGGAGAGGACCAACTTTAAAAAGTAGTTCAGAATGGTCTGTGTTGCTGTATTTTCTTTCTAATTTACTTGTCTTATGCCATCCTCATTTGTTCAGCTTTCTTCAAATTAAGAGGCAGCATCCTATGAATATTCAGTTAATTAACACATGCATTTGCACACTCCTCTTTTAAAAACTTTGTTTTGTTTTCCCTTCATTTTGTTTTTGAACGTTGAAAAAGACTCTGGGGAGAGTAAGGGTGGTGGATTAATGATATCATGAATTCCAGCAATTGTTGCTGTGCACAGCAAGTTTCTGCTCTAAACATGCAGAAATGTATTATTCCCCTGTGTTCAGGAAAGAAGAGTAGACATCTAACAAAACACAATGAATGTACTTCTACTACAAGCTTGCCAGTCAGATGCTATACATTTTTATTTATCCTGAGTTTGAATTGGTTGGGAGCAGAAATGTACATATTAAACAGAACCTTATTTACCTAGATCTGTCTTCTTTCATGCAAACTTAAGAAAAATGAACCTTATTCTCACTCTTACTTACTAGAATATTTCCAAGTATTTCCAAAATTTCAGAGAAGGAAAGATCTAAGTAGGTTAGACAGTTGCTGAGAAGGGAGTGAGACAAGGAAGCATATTGTCCTCATATCTGATTCACTGTATCATTATTTGATTCTTGTTATCATGAGAATAACAGGAATTATTGGAAGAGGTAACAACTGGCATCAGATTTGGAGATCAAACCAATACAAAGTTGAGATATGCAGACAGCACCTGTTTCACTAATCAAAAGTAAAGTCTCAGAAGACAGCTTTATGCCATTAGAAGTGAAAGAATCCAGGTTAATGTTAAATATTAAGGGTAATGAAAGCTTGCATGCTTGAGAACTTACAGCTGATGGTGAAGAGGTAAAAGTGGTAAAGAGTTCTGTTTTCTTGAGCTCAAGAATACATACTGATGGACAGTTTGCTGGAAAAATAAAGAGAAGTTTAATCCTAGGGAAGAAAGGAAGATTTGATTGACAGCAAAGATGAACATTGCTAAAACAAGGATCTTCTTTATTTTATGCATTTGTTTAGCAGTACTTCTAACCCATCCCAATCCCAAAGGACAAAAAGAGAAAATAAGTAAAACAGAACAATGTCAAAACCAAAAAAGTAATCATGAAAAGCAAAATCAAGTCCCAAATAAAATCCAAAATAGGCACCCACAGTCAGGCAGCTGGGACCGCAGGCATGTTGAAATAAAGCAGTTTTTCCCTGTTTCTGGAATTGAAGCAAGGTGGGACTGCATGTACTTTGTGTGGTAAAAGCTGAACGCTGTGAAAGAGCAAGACACAAGCTGGACACATCTGAAGCATAGATTTGGAGGCAGTGACTAAGAGTACCATGGACTGTAAGAACAACCAATCAAGGAGTGCTGGGCTAAATAAAGGGCGAGTGGTCACTTGAGGCAATGATCAGCAAACAGACGTTCACATACTTTGGGTATGATGTGAGCAGATGATGAACTAGGAAAAATATTTATGCTTCAGAAGTGAGAGAAGGAGAATGAAGGAAACAGAATGGGTAAGGAGGATGGACAGGAACAAAGGGATCCTGGAACGCCCTTGGAAGAACTGTGAATTATTACAAAAGTTTGGTCAAGATAGCAAAATTTGTGCAGAATTGTCAAGCAATTGAATGCGACTCAATGGCACCTAAGTAATTAAACAATTACCATTGTAGGCTGACTATATTCCAAATGTTTATTGAAAACATATCTGGTAAATACTGGATTATAGCAAGCCAGTTGCAGAATAGTGTCTGTTAACTCTCAGCGCAGGCTCTTGTTTACAAACAATCAGCTATTGGATTTTCATACACAGTTCCTGCTAAGCTGTGTATTAGATACGTTCCCAGTGTGACAAACAACCTGTTTATTCTGCACAGTTATAGATTGCTGCTCATTTTCATCTGACAAAGTATTTGTGGGAAAAAGCCATTGTTTCAAGGAATGAGACCCTGAAAGTGGGCCATAGCTTAGTAGGAGAGAGGAAATTTGGCATGTAGGAAGATCCAAGTCCAGTCTCAGCATTTCCAGTTGCAGCTGTTGGACAGTAGATTGATGCCAACTAGTGTCTACAGTACTGATTAGATAGACCAGCAGTTTGACCTAGGATAAAGCATCTTTTTGTGTTTCTAAGATGAGGCGTTAGGAATAGTCCATCCTTGACGTTGAGCTTTATAGATAGAAAATCAGTTTCCAATGGAAGACATTGTGAAGTAGGCAGAGATACTTCTACAGACGGAGATGGGCAATGTTTCCTGGGTGAAGCAAGAGTTGCTGGGCATGAATGCAAAATGATGAGGCCATGGTATAGACTAAAATCTTACTCCTCCCTCTCCAGGTCCTTTTGGGAGGGGACACTGTTTCTTGTTCTTTGTTCTTTTAAGGCTCCCAGTACATATTTAAATA